TGGCTTTTAACATTTACAAGTGACTTGGCAAATCCGAACAACACAGCCACACCGCTGTCCAGTAATCAACTAAACGAGGCTTGAGTTTAATCCAGCTTCACATTTGGTCTTGGGTCCTCCAGTGTCTTAAAATCAACAATGCTGTAGAACTGTAAATAAATCAAAACAAAGTGTCAGCTGCGACATGACATGCACCTGAGTCACAGAGAGATAAAGCATCACATTACAAAAGGCAAAGAGCAAAGGCTAATGAATGCACCTAACAATGATAGAAATACAGTTCTCTCTCAAACTCAGAATTTTCAAATGCAAGACACCTATCTTCACATTAAATCCTGCTATTTGTTCAAGTTTTACTTAAATAACACTGCAATCTTGTATCTTTTACAACTCGTGATTATTCCAGCAAAAGATATCAAGAATAAAGCCACAATACAGGCCTCTCCAGGGACTGGGGATTTGCTGGCTATTCAAACTCTCAGCCTGTTAAGAAACATGAAACATTGACAATGCAAGAAAATGTCAAATCTCCAGCAATTTTTTCCATTTCTCCATCGATTTTAGAAAAAGGTAGCAGCACTGCATTGAGGTCCCAGGTGTCTGTGAGATTCTTGCAGTTTCTGATTTACAGAGTACAGAATTGAATACTTTACCATCGCTACCTACCTTTTTGCATTCATTGTGCTTGATTTTCTGCCATGGGTAGGGATTGTTCTTTCTATCCCACCTGTTTCAGAAAAGGAAAACAATAATTTGAAAATAGGGATTATTTTATTATGGCAATCTGGAGGCCCCAAGTTCAACTCCTGTTCAGATTACTAGCTGGATTTGTTTCTTGGTACTCCTCAGATCATCTCTTTAACCAGGCTTGTAAATGGCTACATTCAGTCACAAAATTTATTGGTAAAGATACTTTGCCATAAAGGGCCTTTCTAAGGTATGTTGACATTAAACTGTCGAATTCAAACAAGAAAAATGTACTGCAGCTTATCCCTCCCCACCCCCATCAAAGTAATGTTGTGCCACTGTTTGAACTACTTCTAAGAAACAACTGACACCACACCTTTGAATGTAGGGGAGTGCGGAGGGGTGTGGATTGTTTTGTTCTCTGCGTACCCCATTTGACAACACTGATCCCTGCTAGGGAGTACTTAAAGCACAGTAACGCAGCTGTTTCTAATACTCACGTGCAGTCAGGATTCTTGAGAGCAAGCCTCATCACATATCCAGCAGCTCCCACACATCCAGCACCAACCACCACAAACAGTGGGATAAGCTGCAAGACAATGAGAATCAAATTAGCCTCTTCCAGGCTTCAACTGAAGATAGTGGAGAAAGCAGATCAAGGATAGTTGTGCAAAAACTGCGTGGGGGCTGGAGAGAAACAGAGTAGTTGAGTCTGTAAGCATTTTTCCAGAATACCAGCTCCCGGCAGTGCTGAATCCAGACATTGAGTTAAAGCACTGACTGTGAGCCTGGCACAAGCTAGAATCAAATGAGCATTTACAATTTTGAGTTTTGCTTTCTTTCTGTTCATGCATGACTGAAGACTCACTGAAAGTACTCCCCACACTCTCACTCATATAAACATTAGTAAAAGTTTTACTTTTGAATGCCTACTTTCCATAATTTTTTAGGGTAGCATGTAACCTAACAACACTTTGTAAGATAACAAAACAAAAAGTCCAAAACCCTGACCCCTAAATAGGGAACCAGATAATATGATCAACATACAAATCTCACCAAAATAATTTCAGTACGATTCCTTACAGAATTAGTGGAGAGAATGTTACAAAAAACCAAAGCATTTCCCTTTGGGGATAATTTTAATAATTCTTATAAGCTTTTCTCTTGATTATGTTCTGACGTTGGTAAGGGATTTTTTATGTCACTCACAAGAATCATTCCCATAAGCAGCCACTTTAAATAATTACTTTTCTGCTTCATAAGGGTGCTTATTATGAGATTTTCAACTGTCTATATGTCAATTCGTGTGGTTACACACACCATGGTAAAAGGCATTTCTCTCGTTAACGAAGCCATGGAAAATTTAAACATGGGTTTAGTTTACCGTGGTAACGTGGTTATATGTGAATTGATTTCTAAGATAAATCAGCTGCTTTTAAGGCTTCATTGGTGCTATTGCAGTAATAATCGCTGTCGATTTAGTCAATCATGGCAGTATTTCATGTTATGTTGACAATTTACATATAATTTGAAAATTTAGCAAAGGTACATAGCATTTTTTAAAATCTTGACCCTAGATTCCATTTTACAGTTCAGCTGCATCTCAGTGTTCAATTACATGCCAGGAATAAAATATATTTTTGGCAAATATCGTTCCTATAACTAGCCCAACAAACCAGTTCAAAATTTTGCCTCAAAATTTCCCTGTTACTTTCATTTTAAAGTGAAATCCACCATGCAACATTGATCCTTCTCTCAACAACAGCACGAAAGAAACCCATTAACAAAAGGAATTTTTTTTGCAGTTTCATGTTGGTGTCAAATGAAGAACCCCGGATTGGCTCTCTGACCTTGGGTATCGAAAAACCCCTAGCTATTAACCATGTTAAATGTCATGGGGGGTTTCTTTCTTCCCTTTGACATAACCATGGATATTTCCCATGCTTAATTTATCCCGGGAAAGTATGATCACATGCACCAAGCCAATTTCCCGCAGTAAAAGGATCATTTACCACGGTAAAGGCGTCCTATGTAAACTGCACCTAACATATTAGGGAATAATGTATGTCAATATAGTGGGTATAAAAAGAGATCCTCTATAAATGACATAAATTATATATGCATAACACAACTGTAAATAAATGTATAAATCATAAAAAGATTGGTATAATCAAAGCTGGGTAGTATTGATTGATAAGTACAAAAAGGGAATGTCCGATATCAATATGGGCCGCGTAAATGAACTGTAAACTCTAATTTTACAAACAAAAAAGTGCGAAATTTTACGAGTGCTTAACGGCCCACGGCACTTTCTATAGTTGGATTGAAAAACTTCACTTGAATTTTCCCAAAGAAGCATAAAAGGTCGAACTAACATTGCATGCTAACTTAATATAAACATTTCACGAGAAAACTTGCGACCACCAGCGGCGATCGATGCATCTACAAACTGAATTTGCGCATTAGAACGCAACAGTCAGCAAGTATCACCCCAACAGAACCCTAATCTTACCTCAGGATATTTCTTTAAATATGCGAACACCATTTCTTCAGTCTAACTGGCCAGGCACGCTACAAAATGAACCGTTTCGAAAAGGACGAGGAAGCAAAATGGCGTTCGCGTTTCGTAAAAGAATTCTTTAAAAGGCCTGGCTGCTAAGTACAATTGGCGTCACAGAAAGAACATGGCGGCCTGTTTTGGCAAAAATATTGAGGTGGGAAGTATTTTAAATGTACCTATGTACATGAAATTTACAAAAAAATGGAAACACAAACTATTTTTTCAATATCTTTTTATTAAATTGTATTAAATGCAATACGTATTTAATACAGACTGTAAGATTTTGTACTGCTTCATAAAATTTGTACATGTATTTCAATAAACATGCATTTGTTCCAACATGTAACAAGGATCAAAAACAGGTTAACATGCTTCACTTGGCCTATTTAAAGAACATAAAGGGTAAAATGAAATTATAAATATTAGGTTATTATTAGGAAAAATAATTATTGACAACCTTTTTCAAACTGTTACAAAACACAAGTTCTGTACATGCAATGGCAGGTTTATCTTAAATATGCACAGTACGATCGTCATTTGTGTGCCAAAAACATATTTGGTTCAACGTCAGTTAACTTAATAATATTGACTTTTATTTATTTTAATTTTCTTTAAGCTTAAAAAAATATGACTAGTTAAATATTTGTAGGTGTTTTTCAAGAAAGTGTCTATACCTCTCCTTCAAAGATCTTGAGTAGACCTGCACCGTTCTAAACCTCTTATTTCACTGGTTCCAATTAATCTGCATTTCCATTGTTTTCAGGGATAGGGGCATTGTTATGTGAGAATCCCTATTGTTTTCCCAGGTAATCAAAAACAATCTTTCAAATAGGTGCGGGATCGCCCAAGATCTTTGCTGATGAAGGAGCAAGCAGGGATTATGTTACTTAAATTCCATTTTAATTACTTTCAAAAAACTACTTGAATTAACTTAAACTCAGCTAGTTCTATACACTTGTATGTTGTATTAGTCACTTAAAAGCACAGTATATAATGTTCTTCTTAACATTATCGCAAACCCTAACTGTGGCTGTCTTCAGTATTTTATCTGTCATATTTTCATTCTTTCTTGGATCAGTTCAATCTGATTTTCCAGGATCTGATGGTCTGTCACTCTCAAACTTTGAATAGTCAGAATGACTGTAAAGCTGTTGAGAAAATTAAAATTCAGAGTGAGTGAAAGTAAAAGCTGGTTGCAAAAATAATAATAATAATAATAATTGAAAAAATACCTTAACTTGTGGTATAAGCTTCTAGCAAGAATAACCTCACTTAAGCAGACATGGATCTGGGATAGTGACCAATAATTTCCCAGACAAGGGCTGAAGACTCAAGCTTCTAGGGGGCTCCGGGGTCATGCTCCCCTGGAAAATGTTTTGGATTTTAGCTCCCACCATTTTCCAGATTTCAACTTGAAAAATATTTTTTGGTTAATCAACCAAAGTACCAGAGTGATGTCCTCATCAACTATAAGAGTGCTCAATAGTTGAACTAGAGCAGAATACAAGGAGACTGATGGAACTGGATTAAATCTTGAACATTTTATTAATCTATGTATTTATTATGAAGTATCTGACTGATCAGTCTGTAAAATGGTGGTAACAGGTGTGGATCCACACCTGCTTATCTTTATTCTTATTATTCTTCTTGTTATTATTATTATAAGCCCTTATGAAATGGTCTCCCACCCGACTGTTAATGATTTGTTTTATCAGGCAAAACAAACAACTATTGCAAACTAGTTAACCTGAGATCAGGCTAAATTATTTTACCAGCTCTTGCATATTCTCTTTGACTTCAGTCACACTATAAGTTACTCAATGGGATAATTCGAAACAAAAATAACTGATCTTAGGTTGCTGCAGGCAGACTACCAGCCTCTTTGTTTAAATGAAATGCTAATAAAAAACAATCTAGTAAATTTAACTTCGACTTAACTGGGTTGTAACTCGTAGTAATAATTTTCTGAAAAAGAGCTGAAATAGAAAATTAGAGAAAATAAGGTTAAAGGAAAGTGAGAAGCGGCCCAAATCTATTTACTACTAACCTTTACTTGTTCGTTGGGCTTGATTTTAAGCCAAGGATGTTGGTTATTTGCTCTGTCCCAACTGTAAGGTAATATCAAAAGAATTAAGATATCATCTAATAAGCTACTAGAGGCTGTGCAAGATCTTAACTGTTAAATTGAAACCACAAGAATGTATATTTCTAACAGACAATATTTCCCCAAATACCAAGAAACACTCACATTTTCTCAGCCTAAAAAGGATGTAATCCAATAGTTTTTATTCTTGCTAAATGAGATTTCCATACGTTCTGCCTATACTAATAATAATTTATTGTCATCCTCTGATTTTGTTTTGGAGTTTCTGTATATATTTCAGCTTAAAATCCCATTAGGGTGCAATCAGTGAAGAAATAAATTATTAGATAGCAGAGCATTTGGCTCTTTATGGACCCATTTGCCTACCATTTGAAAACTGGGGAAAACTTTATGGACCCTTTCAGAAAAATGCCAGCCATTTTTAAACTGGGGCGTTTTAAGCTAAAATATGGACGAAAAAAGTTACGCTGTGCGTGGGGCAGATGTCCTTTGGACTTCCGCGTAAGTATGCGTGACATCAACAAATAACGAAGGACAATACGTGACCATTGTTAAAGTGAATATTGACGTCAAATTATAAATAATTTGCATTGAGGACATCCACACGCATGCATTTCAACACGCGTCGGTTAAAATGGTAAAGCGGTTTCTTTTGATTATTTTCTCTATTAAACAGATCTCATTCTTTGAAACCTCAGGATTTTATGGCACCTCATTAATCATTTTAAAAGGTACCGGCGAAGAGAATTAAAAAAATCGAGCGTCCGCTTGTGTCGTCATGACCTCATTGAAGCGGGTGAAATCGCGTGACAACAATCACGCCCCATACCGAAACTAACAGGATATTTATAGACAATATGAACAAAAAAGTTGCAATCCTTCTTTTTTCTACCCATATTATATGACAAACGTGATGAGGAAGTAAAGAATATTGCAAAAGGAAATAATTCCATCACGCGCCGATGTCGCAAATTTGTTCGTGACTTTTTAAATACTGCACTGAGAGTCATGATCGAACGTTTTGATCTCAGTTTTTAAAAATAATTTTCAAATACATACCTAGCGTCTGGATTCCTCATAGCAGCTCTTATCGTCATACCAATAGCACCAACACAAGCTCCACTTACGATCAGGACCAGGGGAGCAATCTGCAAAAGTATTCATACAGGCTTTATAAATAAGCTCGAGATTTATATGCAGTAAAAAAGAAAAATTCCTCTGCTGAGAAAATCTTTTACAGGACGCCGATTGTTAGGATTTGGTCATATTTTCATTCAAAAATTCGAAATACTTCTGCGTTGGGATTGGAAAGTGGGGTATTATGAAAAAGGGACAGAAATTGTAATGGCAATGTCAAGGCGGTATGTTAAGCCCCGCGGGTGTTCTTATGAGTCATTTTAAGTCGAGCGTTTCAAAAGAGCATGTTGACTGTTGCTAAATGCATAGGAAAGCTAAAAATGTCTTGGGCAGCAATAACAAAAAGTAAGCCATTAAATATGCAGGGTTTGCAAAAATTTGAAAAATTACCAATTTTCTGAGCAATCAGTCACAAGATGAAAATTTTGGTTATATTTCTTTTGCATTTTCCCTCTGCATTTTCCCCTCTACCATCATATTTGCGAAAATTTAGACAAGGTTTGAAATAAACAGTTAAAACTGTCGAGTTCTCTTTGAATCAAAATGAAACAAAATTTAGAAATTTCTTCCGTTTTCAGTAAACGCAGTTGAACATGTGGCTCGTGTCAGACTGCACGATTTGGAATAAAATTTTTAAAACCTCATAAAAACGGAAACCCTTACCTCTGGAGTTTTCTTGACTTGTCTGAGAAAAGATCCAGCCATATTTTTGGATGGTTAAAATGGGTTAAAACGCCTTTGTTTCTTTAGAAATTGAGGTGTGCGAATTCACACGAAGCACAGCAATCGACTTCACTTCCCTTCTAAATGTTCTCCTATTTTTGAACTATCTGACAAGTAAACAGAGTTTTTTATATGTAGGTGACAGGTGTGACGTCGACGTCATCTCCTCTCCAAATACCCCGCATGACGTCATTAACTTTCTAGTTTCCAGGCCCGTCGGCCTGTCAGCTCCCTGGAAAGACCCTGGGAATGAGTTTAAAAATCCAACATGGCGGCCTTCAGGTTGAGTTTTGCTTGCTCCAGCTCAAAGGTTAGGTTATCTTTTGTAGGGGAAATGAATTACCTGATTTATCCTGATAAAACGATGTTGAAGTTGGTTAAGAGACAAAAATTAATTTATGTCGAAAAACCTCAATTTGCCACCTCCGGTGACTACTCCCAGCCACGTACTAGTTTTCCGAGGCACGTATTTTTAGCTACTGTAACCTGTTGATCCCTGTTGAAAGGAAAGTATTTCTCAAAGGGGAAGGGAGCTCAAAAAAGAGTGGATGCTTGTATAATTGAGTGAATCACATTCCTTTTAGCGGAAAAAGATCATGTAATAAATGATAGTCTGCAACATCCCCTCCGATACAGGAAAGTCCATGGGGGAGGGGAGGGCAGGGCAGGGGTTCTTCTTATTTTTATCACGTTAATATTTAAGTGTTTGTTTTAGGTAAAAGGATAGGTGGGGGGGGGGGGGGGGGGTGAGGAATATGAGGCATGATGCAGGAAACGATGGGTACAGGAAGTGGCGGAGAGGGGGGGGGGTCTGCTGTGTGATCTTTGTTATTTTTTCTTTGGATGATTTAGTGTGTGTATTTAGGGCAAAAGGAGAAGGGGGGAGGGGGGAACATAGTGCAGTTTTGCAGTTTAGTGCAGTTCTCCCATCAAAATGAATTGGAACTCACACACCAAAAAAATGTATTGAAGGAAATCAAAAATTCATTTTTCAAACTCAATTGGACGAAAGAGTGTGATTGAGTTTGGTCATTGAACAAAGTGGAGCTCACAAAAGAAATCAGGTATGGAATAAAATTGAACGTTCGAATTTCGAACTCTTGATGGCAGGTACATTATTGAGAACTGCTTGTCCTAAGGGCAAGCTGGAAATAAAAATTCAAGTTTTTTTGCAAGCGCTGAACTGCATCAAACTCTTTTGTTCAGAAAGGTTCAATTGAAATCAGTTGAGTTTGATGGCAATTTTATTTGATTTTGTTTTTTGTGGTATGCCATGCTTTATGCAGAGCCCTCACTGATAGGAGTCCTTTGACTGTAAAGGGTTACCCTGTTAAAATGTCAAGTAACTTGCATGGCAAGCATTTCTGCTTAAGTTAATAAGCTAAAGCTGGAGCAAGAGCAAGAAAATATTTTTGTGCAATAACTCGAGCAGAAACGCTTGCTACAAAGGCTACAATGTTGGTTAAAATTATTAAAAAAGGGAAATGTGTCTTCCTCTAAAATGGGGAGCTTTAGAGTGGATTTACTATACTCATTGCAATTATGTCCACAGGTGTGGAATCTTCCAACTCTCATCAGAGCACATGATTCCATGATCACATCCATTTTACTCATACAAAGGAGACCTAAGATGAGCAAATCATCACCTTTCCCTAAAAGAAACAACCCAATGAAAAAGCAACGTGAAGATGTCAGGAAATCAATGCCTGGAATATCCAAAATGAACAAGGAGAAAGCAATGGACCGACCTTTCTTTATTGATAGTCCAGGTATCTGTTTGTATAGTGACATGTTCAGCAGGTTTTACATACTACGACATAAATAAGTTTTACAGTCAAACCAAGTCAAGCGTACCCCCCAAGATTCTATTAATGAACTGATTATTTGAAAAATGAATCTGTTAGTCGTTCCCGTAACTGCGTAATGAGCAGTGAATATTTTACGAGAACTTCTCTGTATTTGATCAGATTGGAAATCTTTGAATGGATTAAGCTTCTTAGAAGACATTTACATCAATTTCAGGAAAATGGAGCTGGTAGAAATTTCATAACTGCCTCGCGTGTGAATTCACGGCTCATTACACATGCAAGAATGCAGAGATCAATCTGAAATCTACAACTAGCAACGGATTCAACTTTTGAATAATAAATTAATTAATGTATTCCTGGGGGGTACGCTTGACCTGGTTTGACTGTAAATAATCAGGGTTTTGTGGTAAGATCAGAGGACAACAAGGTCACGAGGGTTGAATTTTGAATTATAAAATGAATGCCTTCCAACACAACTGAGAGTCCAAATGTGTCACTAGTTGTAAATCTATAAGCTCTGATTTCTTTAATGATTTGGTAGCATACTTATTCATCCCACCTTAGCAATAATATTGTAAGTGGTCCTCTGTTGATTTTCAGGAATGATCTTTAGTGATTACCTTCCTGTAAGAAGATTCTTCATCTTAACATCATCGGTAAGTAGATACACAAACCCTTTGCACACTTCACATTCCAGAAATATTCCTGGTGTTAAAGGTTTTGTAGTCCAAAAGTGACTATTAGCACACAGCATTAGATATAATAAAGCAAAAAAAATGATGGTTGCATTGAAAGCCAGCTCTGTGAAGTGAAATTTGTAGTGTTTTAAGATTGGTGTGATTGAATTTACTTGATTGTATTATTTTGTTGTAGGGTATAAAGGAGAGGTGGAATGCTTTCAAAAATGGTTTATGGACTATTTATAGGTATTATACAAAATTACTTTAATGGCATTCTGCACTTATTAGACATCAATAGAAAAAGAAGAAACAAAATAAGCAACAAATCATGGAGAATATTGGATATGGCCTGTTTTATGTAAAACATACAGCCTCTTTTAATTGTGGAAATTTAGTCTGTAGTCACGAGGATTCTTTGACACCAGGACCGGGTTGTTCAAAGTTAGATTAAGAGAATCCAGGGTTAGTGTGAAATTTGAATTCAGATATGAAAGAGTAAATCTCACAAGAATGGAGAAAATTATCCTAGAAAATGCTTTTGAACAAAAGAAAAAGAAACCCAGATTGAAATTTAACCCTGGGTTAACGCTAATCGTCCTTTGAACAACTGAGCCTGGATTAGTAACCACAGTGAAAAGGGAAGTGAATGATTAACAACACATCTTAATTTTATTTCCACTTTCTTTTTCTTTGACTTATTTTATGATTATATTTTAGCCTTGTTCATGTCAGAAAGCATTGTAAGCCATTCAAGTTGAAAGAATTTGCTAATGAGGCTCAGGAAATTTACATTGATGTGAACAAAGCTCTTATCAGGTAAGTGGAATGACTGTTGACATCAGTGTGTGTTTTTAACCCTTTGAATCCTGATATAAACATTTTTCCTCCACCTTGACTTAGTTTTCCATTTCCCAAAGTATTGATGAAGAGAATTTCTTTAACAACCAAGACCCTTTCTAACTCACCATCCTTCTGTATTTATTTACAGTCAAGACCCTTAACATTTATGGATCATTCCTCTTTTTCCTGCAAACGTTGTGTTTTATTGCATAGTGTCACTTTAGAGGAAAATATTGTTTTTGGTGTTTGTTTTTTGAGTCAACCAGTTAGGTGAATCATTGGACACTTCAAAAAATAATTAAATATAATAACAAGAGTCTCAACAGTTTCACTTCCTTTAGCCTTAATAATCCACAAACCCAGGCACATACAAGGATTGTTTGAAGTAACAAAAAAAGTACTTGCTTTAAAAAACTAAGTTTTAACATAGGGTTGCTTGGATAGAAAGGGTGGGGAACCAAGTTCTTGCGCCCTAGATAGCTACCTTTGTGCTATTAACAATTAATGTGGACATAATTCCTTTTTGCAGTAAAGATAAACAAAAACTTCAAGATAATGCAACAAGTTCAGTATACTTGGTAAGCCAAACAATGTACCGTATTAACATTTTCATGGTTTGGCCTTCACTTTTCAACTTTCTCTTTTCGCAAAGTAGAGACTGAAAAAACACTTAATTAAGGGAAGAAAAAAGAATATTAAATTTACTATTGTTCAGGATTTTATCCTAAAACTCAAGAGTGAAACAGGTGAATAGTGAACCTTTCTTATATTAAGTTTTGTGTAAAAAGACTGTGGTTAAGCATGACTTTCATCCCAAACTAGCTTAATATTTTTATCCTAGAATTTTAATTTCTCAAACCTCCTGATTATTCAAACAAAAACCTGAAGCCCTTTCCCTAGTCAAACACTTTAAATATTACACCTGATATATTGCCAGAACATCCTAATATTTAACAGATTTTCTTTTCCCTTGCCTACATGGTAGACATAATAGAAGCCCGGTCAGTAACTTCTGCAAAGGAACCCTGAGATCCTTGTACTGGGCTCCCAATGGACGCAACAAATTATCGGAAGTGCGTTTGGAATTCTTTTCAACCTGATCATGATTGGCAAATCGACAATAGTTTTTTTTAACAGGTTAATCATGGGGCGTTCTCATATCCAGGTACACAGGTGTGGGCCCAGAACAAGGACTCAAGCACTGTTTCAGAGAAAGACTGGTGCAGGCTGCTTTTCCCCAGACAGTTCAAACAAGTGGGATTGCACTCTTTTTTGTCTGCAGCTTATGAACAACAAATTTGTTGTTTTTGTTTTCTCAGTCACTTAGGAATCTGTACTTTTCTCCAGACAAAAATCTTCACTGGCGATACGTGTCAACTGTAACAAGGCCCAAGGTAGTACATGTTCGAGCGAACCCTGTGGAGACTAAGACAAATTTGTTTGCTCAAATAACAGTCAGAATCCATTCAAAACAGGTAAGAAGACAATAATTTATTAACAAATAATTTCACAGGCACATGTGGTAGATTGTTGGGCTTTTAAAAAAGATAATCAATCAGTTTCTTCCAGCCCCCTTACACTTGACCTAGACACACCTAACACTACACTCGTCTCTGGTGAAACCACCGGACACCAACGTTCATAATATGTTGAGTTTGATAACACAGTAAAAATGTCTACGAAGAGCCATTAAAACATTGCACAACGCACAGAAAACAGGAAGAAAATATCACAAAGACATCTCTTAAAAGTAACAGTTGGCTGTCTTGCAGACCCCAATATAATGAGTTCTCTACCCACGTTTTGAATGACAAGTCTGGCTGCAACTCAGGCTGAAGTAACAGTTTCTATTTTTCCTTAAAGGTTATGGCAATTAAAGATAAGCATGGACGGCATATAAAAGGAAGCGATAAAGAGGTCAGAGAAGTTGTTGACTATGTAGTGTTTGAGCGGCACCTGACCAATAAATATGGCAAGTGGAGAGTTTGCGGAAAGCTTTTCCCACAATTACCAAGGAAACAGAACACTATGCAACCACAGCTTTCAGCTGGCAAGGATGTTCCATCAGTATGAAGAGAAAACATCCTATCTAGGATCTCCCTCACTTACTCTGGAAAGAAGTGAAGGGGAGAGACTTTGGGAATAATATTGTAGCTTTCATCTGCAAAGCCACTTTGTAACTTAAATTTTGATAAGAAAATAAACATCTCTAACTGAATGTTTTGTACAGTAGCTTATTTGTGAAGAATCCCATTTAAACTTTATTTTTCCTGTACTTTACCAGACCAAAGTGGCAACCACCTAAGAGTTTAGCAAACCTGAGAAAAGTTAGATTTCAGCTCTAAATTTACACGTTCTTGAAACCAAAGTCTCCTCTCTGAGATGTTGTTGAAACAAAATCAGGTTTTGCAATCCCTTTGTAACATAAAACATTCCAGCTGCTTCTATCCTGTGAACAGTCTTCCACAATCTTGCTAGACAAGTCCAGAAGAGGAAAGAACTTTGCCTCCTCGTCCTAATTTATCTTGGAAAGATCGAAGCAACTCTGCTAGCAGGGTAAGCTGCTCCAGGATAAAAATAAAGTAGTCAGAGGTTGGCTTTCCAAATTAATAAAATGATGCAGTAAATAACCACCTTGAAACCACATTGCATTGTTTGTTTTATTTCCACTCACGCTACATTTGGTATTGTATTATTTTGCTCCACTTATGTGGCTTGCTTGCTGTGCAAAAGTAAAAATTAGGCTTCTTCTTCATCTTCTTCCTCTGAGCCAGTTTCTAAAAAAAAAAAATACATTCGGAAGATGTCTTACACCACTGATGCTAAAGAGCTTACTTTGTTATCAAAGTTTGTGTGGTTTCCCAGTGCTTTTCTAGTGCAAGAAAAGAAAACTGGTGTAAGTCTCATCTGTTCCAGATAAATTTAACCTTAAAATAGTATCTGCAAATCAGTGCACAAATCCTTGCTCTAGACCCTTACAAAGGACAGTCTGTTCCAGGATTTTGCCTGTGATTGGTCTTTTGGTAAAGGTCATGAAAAGATTTCTGTGAGTGCTCAAATAGAAGTGACTGGTAAGAAAGTAGAAATCAGCCACTTTTCTGAAAGATACTGGTATGTAAAGACAAAAGGAGACTTTTTGTTTTGAATTCAAACCTTACCTTCCTCAGCATTTTGAAGCCACTCCACCATTTTCTTCATCTGTTCCAGGAAAACATTTTTCCCTTTTGTTGAATGTCCTCCGTTGTACCACTTGATTATGGCATCTTCACTTAATACATCAGCTGAATACAAGAAGCAATCACAATATCGGAGGTTAGGTCATGAGATTATAAGAACATCTTATTCCCAAGCAAGGTCATAGTGTTTGAGTATGCTTTCTATAAGAGCTCTGAAAGCCAGCTATCCCAGCTCACACTGCCTAAGATTCACACAAGTGCAAGACCTTGTACCTCTCAGTTAAATTCCCAAATGGATAGCTTGCTTGCAGGCACACAAAGCCATGATGGCACAACAGCCTACAACACATTGTCTCAGCTCGAAAAACTCTAGGTTTAAATTCTATCCAGTGGGGTTCCCTGTAAATGCTTTGCTAGTTTGGATCCCTGGTGGAAATATTGAATACTGTCAACTTTGAACCAGCACTGCATCTCCCCAAGACAAACTGTCCCATTGGTGTCTCTGTCTCAGAGAAAGTTGATTGAAGTCCCTTTATGGGCAGGGCTGTCTTTTGCTTTTGGTTCCCTTTAATGTGAACTATAGGCATATATACCAACTCTCCAGGATATGGCACTGATTTTCCACACTCCCGTACAGGCCACCAAATCTCCCATATAAAATGGACTTTTGAGCTTTTCTGTGCTTTAGTTTGAAATTTAGCCCATTTTTCCCCCAAAATTCGAACTTTTTTTATTTAATATTGTATGGTTTCTCGGACATTTCTGCACATATTTATTAACTGACAAAGACTATTTCATCATTACAAATTATGATGAAAGCAAATTTTGATAGTATCTACTTCACGTAAGACTTCATATAATGTCCTAAGCCATGGCCATGTCATAATATTAATTTTGGCAGACTGGGTCAATTTATCAGGGCAGGGGAAGTGCAAAAAAGAGAGTCTCCAGATTTTAGATGTGTGGAGGTTGGCATCTTTGTATAGGAGCAAAAGATTTAATTGCTCCTTCTTATCTACTAATTTTTTTATAGTAAGCTTCAATTATTCACACTCACTTTTGTAGAAGAGCATCACTATCTTTTGGAAGACTTTCATGAAGGACATGTTGTCATAGCAATATTCCTGCCAAAAAATAAGAGTAACGTCAACTTTTTTCAATATTACACCGTGTAAAGGCTAAAAATCAGAAAAGATGAGGCCACAGCTGCCAACAAATAGTGTAAAGTGGAGCAAAAAGGGAGGGAGGAAAAGGAAAAAATCTTTCCTAACGTTCTTGTTGCAGCAAGCAGAGTGAGGTTAAGTGCCTCGGTTTTCATGTCTTAACTAAGAAATCCACATGACAACATCGCAGATGGCAGGAATGCCCTCTCACTTGCAGCTGTAGAAATGTAGCATTGATCAGTGACATCAAGCATAAAACAATTTCTTTCTTTCAGAAGTAAATTTCATTTTTTACCATGCTTCTGAATAAATCTCATGTCTTTTTGAGAGAGAGAGAGAATTGCTACTGATCTTGAAACACTATTCAGCACACTTCAAAGATACTGCAGGCAGTTACGAGACTGGTTTTAATTATTATTAGTTACTAGAGCCGATTTACCTGCACCTTCACCAAAAGAGTCAACTCTGACTTTGCTTGAGAAGTAAATGTTGCCAGAAGTGGGGCATAATTCTACAAAAGATTAAAGCCACAAGAGTGATTAAAATCAATTTTCTCCTATAACAATATCAATACATACTCAAAAGATAAGGTTATGAGAATTAAAAAAAAAAAAGATTACTTAAGGGATGCTTTGACATTTTAACTAAACAATTCTCTCCACTAATTTTATATGAAAAAATAATAAAAAAATTTAATGTAGACATCAGTCTGGAGAATTTGTATGTGGATACTGGGGATTAATGGGTATTGCCCACTGGAGGCCACGGAATTCTACTACCATGAGGGTCTAAGAGTTTTCTTTGACCTGCAGTCTTTATAGCCTGCATGGCAGGCATTAAAAGGAGAATGGCAAGAGGGAATTCAGGGGAAAGGGAGCACGGGGAGTGGGGGAAATGAACTCCCTTTCACCCCATGCAACTGAATTCCCCATTCCCCTTCCCCTGTTAACATCCGCCATGTAAGCTACACTCTTCCTGTACCTTGAGATGCTTCAAAGCTTGATCATGCAGCAACTCTTCTTTTTTGTTCCATTCCACTGCTTTCATCAAACCTTTCCACACCTACACAGACAACACCACATAAATACTTACACTTACTGATTTATCAGTTTATAACTATAACAACTTTGTCATTGCACCCAGGATTTATTGACGTGCGTAAAGGTTAGGAATCTGAACAAGTTTTTGGTAAAAAGAGAAACAACCAGAGTTGAATGAATTGAGGCAAACTGTGCTCTTAAAATAATTATTATCTTTAGATATTTTGCATCCTTTTTGAAATCAACTTTTTATTTTTTATCATTTATTTATTTTATGTCTTTTTTGTGCATGACTTTTTTCAGGTATGCACATGCGTACCATGCATACAGGTAGCTGAATAAAATAATAATATGTAAATAAATTATTTGTTTTTAACTCTTTTTAATAGATCACACAAACTTACTGTAAAGTGAGTTGACATACTATCTTACCAGAAAAACCACATCTTCTTCAAGAAGTTCTGATTTTTTCATTTCTTCCTTGCAAGTTGCTATCATCTGAACAAAAAATGAAAACAAAACTTAATCCCACAAACAGCAGCCATCTCCTGATACTTCCCACCCCTCCCTTCCAAAAAATGAAAAGTTTTTTACCCAATATTTTATCTTTTTGGTGATATGATATTCACTATGTTTGAATAACTCCAGTTTCAAACAGAGTGAGCGCGTGGCCGAGTGATCACCTCTTGAGTTTGCATTCTGGCAGTCCGGGGTTTATTACCACTACGGCCACTGGCTGGATTTCATCTCTGTTGCACCGAGTTTAAATCCTTCACCATGCTTGTACATAGCCCACTGGCTGCTTCTTGCCAGTTGCGGTTTTAACCCTGTTATGTTCTATTTGGTTTATTTGTTTCTAATTATTTGAGAGGAGTGCCCCTAAACTAGCTGGATAAGAGAAGTTCACTTCCACTATAAATAAACCTTCAACCTCTTTTTAAATAATGTTGATGAGAGTTAAAATCAAGGCTGTGCACCAAGAAAAATTGAAGGGAGCCTGGTGCTGTGAACCTGTGAAATCCAGGGTATACAGCATATGATTTCTATGAAAAAACAACTTCCTGGTTGCTTAAGAGCAAAAGTAGGGCACCAGGGACAAACAGGTGCTGCTAGAACACAGCCTTGATGAAGCATACAACTTACTTCTTTCACGGGTGTTTCTTCTGTAAGCATCTCTTTCAGCTGCTGTTGAAAAGCTCTTCGTGTACCCATAGCTTGCTGGGCTTTCTAAAATCCAACATAAACATAATTATGTTATTGTAGGTGTCACTTAAAAATAGTAAGTGTTTTTAAACTTTATTTTTGCCCAAATGTAACAATTCTGATCAGTTTACTAGCCATAATAAACTTGGGAAAGTGGACAGTAAATTCAAATGAAAATCCTATCTTACCACTACCCACAAGTTTTAACAAGTAGTAATTAGTTGATCAGCTTTACAGCAGCAAACTACAAGAATGAAGCTTTATAATAAAGCCAAATAATGATGAGAAAAAGGCCAAAAAAAGAAAAGAGAAGAAGAAAAATAATAAAATGCCAACAGGAACAGGGTTTCCCCCTCAATACATGAAATAATCTGTCTTGAAATTCAAGAATATCTGTACCAATGCTAAGGGGGCCTCATTGAAGTAAGCAGAGCATTACTTTCAGAGAGCTTCATATTTGCACCAGAAAAAAAAAATCAAGGATAGTTTTTTCAGATTATTTTTTAAAAACCTTTAAAGTGTGATCAATAAAATAGTTGGCCAGCTGCACTGTATCTAGTTGGAATAAATTTTAGTTGGCCTGGACCACATAAAAGCCCCAGACTTCCAGTTCAGACCTCACCATATTTTTCAATCTATATTTTTTCAGTATATTTTTAAAACTTGTAATGTGACAAAAACAAATCAATCAATCAATCAATCAATAAACCAATCAAGTTACCTGAAACAACACAAGTTTATCCAGACCATTTGCATTAAAATGCTTTTCAAACATTTCTTGAGTTTGCTTGTTTGGAGGAAAGAAATCCTGTACACATGGAGACAAATAAAATCAAGTGATTGTCAAAGGTCAAGAAAAGAGTGGATAAAATGATATTTTAGGCCTAAGTTTGATTTGAACCACAGTCTTGTCAACAAAAGATTCCTGGTAAGTGCCGGATCCCGCAGCTTCAACAAACGTACAATCAGTGTGAAATTTAGCTAAGAAACTCCTAAATTTTCAACACGTTCTACTTATAATTGGAAGTCTTAAACCCGTTACGGTATTTCTCATTTAAAATCGTTTGTTTCAATAATTATTTGCCTAGTCTCACTAACATTTTTGCTAAGAATACTGGTGATGATAAATTAAGGTACTGGCGGGCACTTGAAGGGTGCCTGGAATAAAGCCTACAGTGAGCTCTGATAAATTGCTATATTCTCCTGTCAATTTGCCCAGTATATGCTTGTGAGACAAAGGGAGAATTTCACGTTAAAACTTGAGTCACTTAAGGCCTTATTCCATATTATGGCAGCTCTTCAATTTACTTACCATTAGTTTATTCTCCAGCTCAGCTTTTCTTATCAGCGAGCTGAGAGAGGTAAAATCCTTCTCTTTTACCACGGACTGAAAAACTTTGGTCAAAAACTGCAATGCAATTCCTATGGAAAAATAAGGTCAAATAATATTTAGGCTACCCTACTGTAGGCATATTAAATGTCCCTTTATAAAAATAATATACTAAAAGGTGACAAAAGTACATAATTGTAAATTTCTTTGAGCACAGCCTTAAGTGGTACCTGAATGGGCAAATATAGTGACTTTCTGTCTCAAATGCCAGAAGTGAGACCAAAACCTGCAATTTACACCCTTACGTGAGATGACAAGCAACCCTGTCGCTTTGATATGGCAGACCCCCACCCACAGGGCTGGCACCCCTTTTTAAATCCTGCAGTATAACATTATCTGGTCAGGGTACTCAAAGAGAGATAAGATGCACTTCTGGTTGTTATTTTTATTGTCCGAGATACATATAAAAATGTTGTTGTTGCTTAAGGACACTATCACTTCTTTTCCACTAGTTCAAATTAGGATCCACTGACACCAGTGTTAGTATAAATGTAGCACAAACGATTGACAGTATACATAAAAAAATAGGTACTCACCTTCTTTGATAAGAATATCACTTGACAGTTTGTTCAAACATGTGGGCGGTGCCATGCCTGCAATAAACATGTGACAAAATTATAATTTAGTACATAGTATGAAGTATGAAAACAAGCACAGTAGAAAAGCAAGCAAAAACCAAGGACAAAACCTGACAGTTTGATGCAAAAATGAAGCTTAAGTATTAAAAAGGATTCCATTGCCATCAATAACAAACATAAAATAGAATACAATAGTGTAGTACAATTTACATCAGTCAAACCTGTGTTTAGCATTAAAATCATAATAATTTTAGACTGGTAAAACCTGAATCTTAAACGTTAACCTGTGACCCTGTTATACTAGTTAACCTACAGCAGAGTAACAAAGACCTTTGTATCAAACCTCACCATTTGCCAAAATAATTCCGGTAACAATGGCAAGCTTGTTTCGCTGATCTTCAGTGAATCCTTTGAGGAAAAGCAAGATCTGACAAAACAAAAAAACACCATGACATTGATGACCAACAGCACTGGCCTTCGTCTCAATATGTAAAGCCCAGGTGGGTTAAGTTAGTGGATTTCAACAGTTTGAATATGATAAGAAGCCTAAGAAACCTCATCACCCTTCACAAGGCTATTGACTTTTTGCGATTCGGTATCCAGCCTAAGTCAAGTAAAGTCTATCAAGAAACGTGCTAGGTATAGAACTCATCCAATTGTGAAATGTAAAGACTAAATTTCATTTTTCTCATCTGCTCTGACTCTTAATTTTTATTTCTTGGGCTAAGTATGTGTGAAGAGTGCAAGGTTACAACAAACTATTCCCCACTTATGTATTGCCCATAATAAATCTTATTTGCACTCCAAAAATGCTGCATCAGCACTGATTCCAAAATCTCCTAGGGTGGCTGTAATACCGCGAAGAAAATTAATAAGAGACAGTGATTATGCAAAATTGTGAAAATGGAAAATGTACAACAAATAAAGCTGTGACCTTTGGCTTGCCTGATTCTTCAACATCAATTTCTAACAACTGACCTTTTGAATTTCCTCCTCAAATGCCTTCTGCAGGTACCTGTACCGTGCGATAACTTTGTTTATTACCTGCAGACATTGTGGAGAATAAAAGTGAAAAGACATGCCTTGATTCAGCTCCCCTCCCAAATCATTGCCCCCTTTTTCCTCAGCTATGGCCAGGAAATTCTAAACTTCCCACAAGCCCTAGTCACGAAATAGTGGTCAAAGTTCTCTATAGCAGGTGGTTGTTTATGGGAGGTTCCGACTATAAGGCTTTGATTGGCAAAATGTTGGTGTTTTGGCAAGGTGGTCACTTAGAGGAATAGTCTCTTATGAGAGGTGGTCATTTATGAGAGGTGGTTGCAGATGGAGGTTTGACTGTAAGTTCCAAGTTGTTGAACCCATGGACTCCTGAGGAATAAATCCAGCTAGGGGACAGGCTGGGCCTCCATACTGCAAGCACAGAGCTCTCTCTCACCACTAAGTCAAGATGCCTCCTCAGTTTTTGGAGAAATAAACACTTTCCATCACTTAATAATTTTATAACTGTTGTAGTTGAGAGAGTTTTGGCAAATTTGGAGATCGTAAATTATTCAAAATAAGCTCTGGAAGGAGGGAACCTGCCTTTACACAACCTCCCCACCTCAATTCATTTTTGAACATTATTTTTTTTAAAAACTATTTCGCACAGATTTTGAATAACAGCACAGCACAATATTATGGAGATAAGAGCGATCGTTGAGCACTTGTATTGTACAACACACCTGCACGTAGGTCTTGAGATCCTCATCATTGGCCTCAAATACACAGACTGATGTTCTCCATGTTGCCTTTTCACCTTCCTCCAATATACTTCCGCCAGGGGCTATAAAGTATTTGAAATAAATAAAAAATAAATTTAGTTAAGTTATAAACAATCTAATGAAGAGATAAAACCAGTAGAGGAGGTAGCCCAGATCACCACAATAATGTAAGACTTTCGGCTGTGTTTCTTTTCGAGTACGCAAAGGTCTTTGACATTCATTAAGGCATTTTGGGAGCCATTACAGAATAACCAGCACACTAAATATCTTACTTGAACAACAACTGCTCATGCAGTCTTGTTTCATTATGCTGGATACTTAAATTTAAGTGAGTAATATGACTGCTCTGCTAGTCCCGCACCCCGCAGTCACTGAAAAGTGAATATCAAGTGGGTTTACAACTAGTGCTCCAGCAGTCCTGCACTCCCACAGATGATGTCAAGTAACTAATGTGATTATAGAACAAATTATACTAGTGCTCCCGCGGTCCCTCCATCCTGTAGCCGATGTCAGAATATATTATACAAATCAGACAACTGTGGGGGACTGCGGGAGCAGTATTTTAAGTGAGATATTTAGTGGGCTGGGTATTCTGCAATCAATCTAGTCAAATTTTGAGATCTTGGCATAATCTCTTCATTCACATGGGCTTTATATTAGCGACTGCTAATTAATCAGCTTTCAATTTACATTGGAGAAACATCATACCGAGAACTCCTCCCGCGAACAGTATATCAAAGAGGCACTCTCCATAGAGTCGGTAATTTAGCTTGCCCCCACTTTTGTCAAGAAACGTCAACACCTGACAACAGTAAAACACAGCAAGAAATCAACAAATGCAAAATGTTAAATTTGCACAAAATGAAAAAAGATGACTTTGTAGGGGTAATACAATAATATTACTGGTAACCCAGCAGTTTACGTTGTATATTGTGGCCCAGCAAATACTAAAGGGCAGAAACAAATAACTGAAATAAACAAAACAGTCATGGTTAAGAATCCCCACTGGCCAGAGGCAAACTAGTTGGCTATTTACAGGCATGACCAAGGAGTTAAACTTGGGACTACCCAGAACAAATCTGGCTAGCGGTTGCCATGGGATTGAACACAGGGCTTCCGGATTGCAATTCTAGCACTCTAACTATGACCGCTCAGCTATGCTGCCTCCAAGATGTGACCAATTCAACAGTATTTGATGCACCTTGATGTGGATGTATTAACAAATCAATGTTACATTGAGTGCTTTTTGTTGATCATAATAATATTTTATTTGAAATCCAATTAATCTGGAATTAGAGTGAAGAGAAAAATAATTGTTTCAAATGCCTTTCATTTAGGTTAAGGTAACAATAGAGAGCTCTACTACAGCTAAATGTACAGCTCTGAATATCATCTGCCAGCCAATTATGCTAATTCCATTTATTATTTACCAGAATACAGTCAATCAAATCTGCCCATTGTATGACTATATCAACGCTTTGCTTATTGATTGTATTCTGGAATAACAATACACAAAAGTTTTGTTGCAAATCTTGTGCCATAATTTATTTATTGTTGGACCATTAAAGGTTACATAGAGCAGAATATTTTATTTCAAGCACATTTCAAGATTTTGCAATGCAATGATCATTAACTGCACCAAAAAAAGGGATTTGTAGAGTTTATTCCATTCACCATTTTCACATAGGCCATAATACACCTTGTTTACCCCCCCAAAATTTTGCATAGCCATAATTGTCTTCGATTTCTCTTGGGACGAGCGTGATACCCAGGAAAAATTGATTCTGTAAAACAACAACAAAATAAGCACTTACCTGATCTAGATCATTGTTACCAATTTCCTGCAACCCCTGTATTATAGCATCACGAAATGCAAGAGGATCTTGCTTTTCTTTTTCGTCTGTTGATGAAATTAATTAGGTGACTAAAAGGGACGTCACATCACAAGAAAATATTGAAATATTGAAATCATGTTGTATGCAGTTACAGGGATTTGTTTTTAAAAAAGATAAAAACAGCAAAAGAAGTTTGTAAGCAGTAATTAACCATCAGTAACAAACCCATGCCTAGTGCTAAACTTGTAAACAACGTTTTGGCCAGTTTTGTCTCTTTCTGGGAAAACTGTGAATAGACGGCCACATGACTAAGGGCACTTACAAACAATCAGAACTGGCCTGCTGGACAATTCCCTACTAGCTGAGGTCTCTCATGGCAAGAGAAGAAGGAGAGGAAAGAGAGAGACCTCTGCCAGCCTGTGATCATGATGTGTTCTTTCATGTAGCCACTAACTACATTTGTGGCGGAAACTTACAGGTTTTAAAACCCATTTTGTTTAATGTGGAATACTCATGCCCTGTTGAGACTTTACGCCAGAGCATGTGTGATAGAAATTGCGTCTGAGGCTGACAGAAGTCTCTCTTTCCTCTCCTTCTTGTCTTGCCGTGACAGCCCTCTGCTAGCAGGGAAGCCCGACCAGTCATTTTGAAAATAAAATGTTGGTGTTTTCTCAAAATTTTCCCTAAAACACACCACCACTGAAAGAAAGTAAATTATTGATTTTTGTGCGTTGAACGTGTAAACACCACCACTGAGCATACCATTAATTTTATTAATAGACTGATCTGGCCGGATAGCAGTGATTTTGAAACAGGAATTCTCTTTACAACTTGACTGGTCTGGCTGGCTAGTTCAGACAAAATAGAAAGTGCCCACAGTTGACAAGCTTCAAACACCAATTGTTGGGTAAAACTTTCAGGAATGAATGGGTTAAATAGAATACTAATTTCGACCCAGTAAAGTTTAAGGGCTTTGCGGCCTTGCCTTGGGGCATGCCTGTCACCCTTTACACTTTTGACCCTGGGAAGTGATGTTTTTTTTGTCTTTTGCCCTTTATTTCCTTCTATTGGCCCTTTTTCTCCAAACTTCACAAGGTTCTGTGAGACATGTATGGCTGTTAATGTTAGGGCACACATAAAGGAAAACACTGATCTTTCCAACTAATAAGCCTGACGTCTTGTCACGTACATACACTGTCTGATATTTTGGAGAATGATGACATCCTGCTCTAGAGCAGCAATGTGAATCACACCACTAGACATGAGAGGTTTAAGCTTATGAAAGAAAGTAAATTATTCCACCAGACTGCCACACAATGCACGTACCTCTTTTGCGGGTTCTAATCCGCTGGCCACTGAGTGTAGGTTTGGGTTGCTTTTGACTCATAAAACAACTGGCTGAAAACAAAATTGTATTTTATCAACACCGAAACAAGCTTTAGCATTTCAATGCATAATTCCAAAAGCTTAACACAGCGTTTATGTATAGCTAAGTAGATTACGCTTTCCCCCTGACGGCGAGTCGATTTATTTAGACCTACTGTGGTAAAAGTTGTTTATGGATAAAAGATTGTGTAAATGCTCATTAAAGTTTATGGCAGATCGTGATCTTTTTTCTTTCCTGATGTCGCATATCGCGTCGTGTTCCTTGTCAAACAAAAACAACGACCACAACGAGAACATCATTCACATGGACACCGATCAATAGCCAGAGTGCTAGGCTTTGATGTCAAAGGCGAAATTGAGCAACATGTAAAAACATTTACACAACACTGACAACAGAATACAAAAGCTAAGCAAATGTACGTAAGGAATTGAAGATCGGAAATGAACACAACCACGAGCAAAAAATCAAATTCGGTCACGGCAAACTCGCCATTTGCCTTCAACTAAACGCTAAAAATATCAAATCCGTAGACTGGGTGTAAGCAGTACTGCTTCTTTAATTAAACCTAAAAACGGCTGCATTACCATCAGGATCGTCAAGAACAACTTCACTTCAAGCGTGCGTATAAAAATTCACGAACCAATGAAAGACTTGGCTAATGCGATAGATAAACGTAAACGAGTTCGACGCTCAATCTAGTTAACTGATAAAAAATACTCAAGTCAATAAGAAGGTGAACGGTCTTACCTGAAAACCTTTTTAAATATCGGAGAGAGGAAACAGTGTTTTACAGAATAATCTACGCTGTAAAAATATGACACCGCAAAGCACGAGGTTGCTGAGCGGATGGGTAGGGGACTGGATCGAACTGTAACCCCGCCTTTCACCTTCACCCGTTCTCTGTGACGGGGGAAGGGGGAGAACGGGGAAGGGAAGGGAGGGAGACGAAGGAGACATGCATCCTCGGCAGACAAGAGAGAATTAGGCAATGAGGAGTCATTTCTTCATTTAATTTTTGTATTTTTGCAGTTCAAATCATTTTCATTCCATGTTTCATTCCTTTCCTTTCGAACTCATAGGCCAAAAGCCCGCTCTTGCTGACAGGCGTGACTCGCAGGTACGAGTTCTTGATTTTTGGCCATCTAAACAGCAAACTGCGTTAATAAACAAAAGGAAATATAAACGCATTTCTGGAAAGAAATGAAACTTTAGCTTGTCTTTTCGTATGTTCCAACATACACCTTCAGACGTATAAACCGGTGCTGAATACTACAGAAATTTTAATGTAGAATAAGGTTGCGTTCGATTGGTCAATCGAACGCGAAATCCGAAAACGTATTTCACCTCAATCAATCAATCAATCAATCAACAACTTTATTTAAGTGTCTAATCTTCTAGCTTGCCGTCAAGCCTACTAATCGGGGACACTAAGAAATCAGTCCTCAGGGTGGATTTCAATTAAGAAATCCAAATCCGGATTGCATGGATTTTCTTTTTACCGTTCGATTGGGAAATCCAAAAAAGGATTTGCAAAACTGTTCTCGTGAACAGTGGTCTTCTTTTTGCTAATTACGGTATGCGTCATTTCCGCCTCTCCCTTTTATTGTGACATTCTCCATCTATATAATATTGTGATTGCTACATAAGTTCAGTAACATCTGTAAACCTAAAGAGGGCTGGTATTGCCAGCCGAAATATTGTTATAAAAAACAATACACGTTGTTTTAAATCAGCTTTGCAGTAGTCTTTGTTGACTTCTCGTTCTTGCTGGCGGCAATACGGCAAGGGCAAAGGGCTTGCATTCAGTTTTGTTTCTAAAAGAGAGAATAATCTATTGTTCTCTCTTGTAGCCTGTTATAAAACTTCATTTTTCGGTTGGCAGCCACCATTTTGACCAATTATTGGCTAGTTGTTAACCCCATCTCCAACCCGGCATGTTAGCGTTACAATGAATGATTTTCCAGTAATCGGAGACGTCTGTTTTGAGCAAAGGATTGTGGGATCGCCAGGGGGCAAACATTGCAAGTCGCTATAAAGAAATGTATGGCGTAGAGTTGTTTCTTCGTTAAAAAAAGTGNCGGAGACGTCTGTTTTGAGCAAAGGATTGTGGGATCGCCAGGGGGCAAACATTGCAAGTCGCTATAAAGAAATGTATGGCGTAGAGTTGTTTCTTCGTTAAAAAAAGTGATTTTGGACAAGGAATGACCTATTTTAGCGGTAATTTTGGGAGGAGAGGAGGTGATCGATGTTTGAGCGTGGAAATTGTAAGTTATTATTGCCTTAATGTCATAAAATCTATCGATAAAGACTCTTTCTTGCGTAAGTTCGATTGTGAAATTTCCTGTATGAATTTACGTGAAATTTAGGTATGAATTTGAGGAGATTGATTCAATAAAGCCTATTCAGTTAACATAACGTGTGTTGATATTAACTACGAGTCAATTTGGAAGTATGCCCGGCGGGGATCACTGTGCTGTTTGGGGTTGTGACAACGATCGAAGGTACCCAGAAAAACTGAAAATTCTTCCTCATGTTGGTATGTTTAGATTCTACTCGCCAAAAAACAAGCAGGATGTTTTGTCATGGTCCAGGGCTATAAATCGCGATAAATTTAAGGTTACGATGAGTACAAAGGTCTGCTCCAACCATTTTGCACAAGGATATAGGAACCCCCAATGTCGCACACCTACTTTGTATATGAAAGGTTATGACTGTGAGGATAAACTTCAAAGACCCGCTCCTAAGATCAGAATCACGGAAGTATCAAACAAAAAGATCAGAAAAAGAAAACAAAGTGGAAATGGTCAGCTGAACGATGGTGTTCAATTTAAGAAAGTTGCTCTTGATGATGATATAGTTCATGAAAACATTGACCTTGGGCATGATACAGCTCCATTGTCACCAGGTAGTGTGGGTCCAGTTGCATGTTCGGTTGTTGATAAAAGAGATGTAGGGACACAAACAGAGTACAAAAGCCAAGAGGAAGAGAAGAGAGCATATTTCATCCACCAAGCAACGTGTCTTAAAAACTGTTATCGATATACAGGTTTAAGCCGACCTAAACTTGATTTGGTATTTGAATTTTTAGAACCAAAGGCCACTGAGATTCATTACTGGAGGGGTAGCAAGAGTACCAAAACATTAACTAAAAAAATAAAAACAAAAAAGAAAGCTACATGTGTCAATGATGAGGGTGTTTTGTCTAAAAGGGAACAGTTTATTCTTACCTTAGTGCGTACAAGAAAAGGTTTTGATGTGAAATTCCTGGCTGATTCATTTGGGATTTCACCAGGACAAGTTTCTAAAATTTACAACACTTGGATAACATTCCTATCCCAAGAACTGTCCTTTTTAGTTCCATGGCCCTCTAAATCGGAAGTGAAGAAATGTCTTCCAAAAAGGTTCAAAAGGTTTGAAAATGTCAGAATAATAATTGACTGTCTGGAACTGTTTATTCAAAAACCAAACATTCCTTCAAGCCAAAAGATTACTTGGAGTAGTTACAAGCACTGGAACACTGCAAAGTTATTGGTCGGTATAACACCAACTGGTGTTATATCATTTATTCCTCCTTTATGGACAGGGTCCATTAGTGATAAGGAAATTGTGAAACAAAGTGGACTTGTGAACTTGCTTGAGGAGGGGGATGCAGTCATGGCTGACAAGGGTTTCCTTATTCGGGATATTCTCGCATTTAAAAAAGTCAAGCTTGTTTCTCCAGCTTACTGTAGGGGACCACGACTAACAGCTAAGGGAACAACCCACACCCGTCGTGTTGCCTCACTGCGCACTCATGTTGAGAGAAACATTCTTAAGTTGAAGCAATTTAGAATCCTTTCAGGGGTTATTCCTCTTTTGTTGAAACCAGTGTTGGACAGAATTGTTTTTGTTTGTGCTGCCTTAACTAATTTATGTAAAAGGAGCATAAAGTAGACATGCATATAATGTATTCAGACCAATGATTATTGCTTTTATTGATTTTTGTGACTTGATCCTTAGTATACATTCCTATCTTGTTACTGTTTAAGGCTCTTAAATGCTTCCAGGAGAATGGAAGGAACTATTTGTTTACAATAAAACTTATTAACTTTTGTCACAACAGTTTTCCAGAAATCAGCATTGAAATTAACTTTTACTACATGTATACCCTTACTGGTGTAAGTCACAAATTCACAAGTGTTATAACCTGAAACTGCCATGTAAGTTTGAACTTGAAAATAGTGCAAGTGGTTATTATCAAGGGAGAAGTTCCCATCTTTATCTTTTACCCCACCGACACTAGGTAACAGAAAAGCATTTTTGGGGTCCAGGTCTTTTCCATTAAAAGGGCATTTAAATTCCACCACAGCAGGATTACAACATGAACATTTTCTAATGCCATCTAAGCTAGCACCTAGCCATGAGTATTCTGTACTTAAAAGAAGACCAGGCTCTTCAAGTTTAAAGGCACTATGCTGTTTCTCACAAACTTTAGAGTAGTAAAATTTTGCATTACTTTCTTCTTTTATGCCATACTCTATGGCATCAGGGTATCTTTGATTTTCCTTATATTCTTTTTGTGTGATGAAATTTTTTACAGTGAGGGATACATCAGTTAGAGGATTTTTTTCTATAGTATTTTGTCGAGTATAAAGTGCTTTAATAGTTTTTCCTGTCACTAAAAGATGCCTCATCTCATGCCATGTTTTCCTTTGGTGCTGACCCTGAGTGGCTTTGTTGATATTTTCTCTGTCACTGTTTGAAAAGGTCAGCACTTTAAGAAATTCTTCAGCAACATCAGAAAGGTTTGACTCTGAAGTATTGTCAACATTTGCCTCAATATACTTTTTAGCTTGGGACATGATAGACAGATGTGAAATATTATATTCAGATTGCTGACTGTCATCATTGTCATCAGAGGTTATTGGAGCTGGTAAGAAATCAAGAATCCCAGAAAAGGGATCAATTTTTCTTAGTTTTTGTGCAAATTCCAATTTTTCATTTAAAGTTATTTCATTCCTGTGTTTCATTGGCCTGGGATCAAAAGAGTCAATCCAAGAGTCATCTTGTGCTGTTACTTTTCTTTTGTTTCTCTTTCCATGACCATGTGATACTTTCATTTCTAAAAGAGGTACTGGTTTGTTCTTGGGTGTGGGTTTTGGGTTCCAATATGCAGACACAGAGGTGACAGACTTTCTTTGATTGGAAAGAAAATCATCAAGCTCAAACAATGTCGCACCCAAGTGTCTGCATCCTTGATCAGCTCCACCCTTACATCTGCAGAATGCAGAGTACACAGAACCATTTGAATCAAGCACAAACCATAGTCTATAATACTTTTCACCCTCTTGTGTTTTTTCTTTCTGTGTTGGTATAACCCCTGCCACAAACACAAAATAAGTACTGCCATCAAGATCTTGCACAGTCTTTACACCAAGGCTTTGAACATGGCCATTTAAACATAAATTATATTCTTCAAATGAACGCCAAGAGGACAGCATAGCTTTGTCGTAATCAGTTTTACTCATTATCAAGTGATTGAAAATGTCCATCAGTCCAAATGGAGGCAGCTGTGAGAAGTCATGAGACAAGGATGACATTTGAAAAGGATCTGGAATTTTAAGTCCTGCAGGTAAAGTAAGGCGTCTAATCAAGCATTCATCAATAGAACAATTTTCAAAATCAGGATCAATGGGAAGGTCCATACTAGCAATTGCTTTAGCCAGCTCAATAAGTTGGGGCTTGCGGTAATTGGAAACTTGAACACCCCTTGCTGAAATGAACTCTTTGATGGCTTTTATATCCATGTTGTCAAAGTTAGGAGTGGCATGGGGTTGTTTTGAAGAAGTGGAGACGGAGCTAGGTTGAGTTGTGGTAGTTTTAGTAGCTGGAGATGGATTTTTTGCCTTTGGAGCAGGGTCTTCTGATGATTCCATTGCAAAATTGGTTTTAGGAGTTGTTCCATTTATAGGTGCTGGGAATGATTGTTTAACAAAGTTTTTCTGGGGTTGTGATGGCTGTGTGGCTTCAAAAGTTGCAGATGTTTGCTTTGCTGTGGTTGGCTGTTTATGATTGGCTTTAGTCGATGTTGGAGATCTTTGTTTGAAATAAGTAGCTTGTGATGGCTGTTTAGCAGAATCAATACTACTACAAGATGAAGATGATTTTTTGGCTGCAGTATCTGTACTTGATAAGTTTCCTTTTGTTTGTTTAGTGGGCTGAGTTTGGGGGGACTGCTTCATAGTGTTAGTTGTTGTTGAGGATACTTTGGTTGGAGGACATGTTTTTGAACTTTGTTTGACAGCTGAAGCATACGATTGTTCAATATTATCCAAATCTATTACCACTGAGGATGGTTTATTTTCAGGGGGGGGAGCATTACAACAATTTCCTTGAGGAAGAAGGAGATTGAAGTGGTTTGCTTGGGCATAATCATCATAATATTTCAGAGTAATGGGACATCCACAACCTTTCTTTGTTTCCATAGGAGAGGAAAAATTAGTGATCTTGAGAGGGTTAAAAGTGAACCACTTTTTTTCTTTAGTCGAAAATGTGCTAATAGTTCTCTTGAGCAGTGTTGCACAACTAAAGATGTCAACAGTTTCTGCCCAAGACCCAGCAAGTTTACTTTTCTTAACATGTTCCTCCACTGAACGTGATGCAAACAGCAATGGCTGAAATACCTGCGGATATTTCTGAATAAGGGAGTTACACAAGCTTCGAATTTCCCCGTGTTTTCTGTCACTTGTTTCATCCCTCCATAGGGCAATCGCTCGGTAGAAACAATTTCCATCCCCTCGTACAACAACTTCTGTCCTTTGTGAGTGTAGAATTCCATCGGCCATAGTAATGTTATATCACTTGTAACTAACACAGAAATGATCTCGGCACGCGTAATTATAACTGAAAAGGTTTTATTGAATCAATCTCCTCAAATTTATACCTAAATTTTTAACTATTTCGAGGCCATTACTTCACGTATATTAAGGAAATTTCACAATCAAACTTACGCAAGAAAGAGTCTTTATCGATAGATTTTATTACATTAAGCCGATAATAACTTACAATTTCCACGCTCAAACATCGATCACCTCCTCTCCTCCCAAAATTACCGCTAAAATAGGTCATTCCTTGTCCAAAATCACTTTTTTTAACGAAGAAACAACTCTACGCCATACATTTCTTTATAGCGACTTGCAATGTTTGCCCCCTGGCGATCCCACAATCCTTTGCTCAAAACAGACGTCTCCGATTACTGGAAAATCATTCATTGCGAGACTAGAGTTTCGTTTATCACAATATTTCTCCTATTTCCCGGAAGTTCACTTTCCAACGTGTCGTGAGGTCACCGAAACACGTGACCTTTCCAACGCTGTAAACATGGCGGGCCCTGTGGAAGCAAGATTTGATGCTGCAGTTAACGTCGTACGATCAATGCCAAAAAAAGGTATTAATAACCTTTTTGAATCAAAACGTTGAAAAGGAGTGAATGAAGTTGTTCAAAACTTATTTTTCTTCATATTTTAGGCGCCTATCAGCCTTCCTACGACACTATGTTAAAGGTAAGCAGAAGTTTGTGAAGCCAGTTCAGTAAGCTTAAATGAAAATTGAAAAGTTCAGTTTTCTTCTCTCTTCTTATACGTAGGAATTTTTTGACAATTTTTATTTGAATAATTCAAAAATACCTTTAATCTGATGTCATTCTCTTGGAGAGAATTCGAAATGGCAATTTTTGCAAAGTTCGTGTAAGTTTCTTGTGGGGCGCAGGTTGAATGAGTACAGTACAAAGTCTTCATAAATTTAATGACGTTTACTCTTTAGTTGTTGTTAAAGATTCTTACAAAACTTAGCCGTGCAAAAGGATGCAAAACAAACGTAAATAACTATAATTCCAGTTGATTTGTGTAGATTTAAGTTAAAAATTAAGCCTTATTTGTTTATTGTCTATGCATACAAGTTAAGATTACAATGATATTGATTGTTTGTATTAAGCTGAAAAAAATCCACATATTGCATTTGTTTGGCAGTGGAAGTTTTCTGTTATCCGGGATGGTCTTTAAGTTGTGATGACAGTGACATCAACACTGATGATATTGATGATGATGATGTGAAAGATGCTGATAACCATATTGGCATAAAAACAAGAAACCATTTTTGGGATTTTTTTGGTCCACACAGTCAGTCAGCTATGTTTGTCTAAATTGTCACATTTTTTTCAAACACTGGATGTTCCTCTTGTTCCCAAACCATCACTTTATTTATTCACATGATTGATGTGACACATCTATTTTTGTATGAACAATGTTCAGTGGGTTTCATTATTATTAATTTTTTTTCAGTTCTACGCTTTCTACAAGCAAGCTAAAGAGGGTGAATGCTGTGAATCAAAGCCTGGATTTTGGGATGTAGTAAAGAAAGCAAAATGGTCAGAGTTTGCTGATATTACTTAACAGTCGCGAATGGGGCTCAATAAACGGTTACCTTATACGCCTTTAGTTCCCTTAATGGTCCTCCTACTAGTCCGTTCTACACTGTCCTATATGCAAATCAAGTCCCTTTTTGCTTTGAGTGTTAACCTCATTTCGCATCTAATTATCCTACATTAAGTCCCTTGAGACCGGACCATACATCAGTGTAATGAAAATGGGATTTTGGATGTCTTTCATTTCAGCATAGGGGTTGCTTTCCTACTTGATGATGTCGTTTTTTGGTAAACGATCAAGTCATCTCGGCTGAAGTTATGTCGCCCCATACCAGAGTTATGTCAACCTTCAATTTTATCAGGTGTACTACAGTGAGAAATAAACCTGATCCTCCTGCTCTCTAATAACAGTCGTTATTTTTTTTACTATTGTTCTCTTTATAACAGGGAGGCATGGCATGGCTTAGGTCAGATGTCAAAAGAAGAAGCAATGGAATCATATGTGTTTGAACTAAAAAAGGTAGTTATGTTGTGCTAAATATTGTGAAACAGTTCCTTACATCTGTATATGTAAGTGGACATACAGTGGTCACTAACTATGGGTGTTTGCAGTGTTTTTAGAGGGACATGTTTGTAGGAGAACATTTTGGGAAAAGCTCAGTGACTGGATACAACATTGCTAAGAACCAATCATGGGCAATGTTGAAAATGAATGAGGTGTTGTCTTTTGTCTGCCATATCCCCGACTGACTTCTTGAAAAGTTGGAAATATTGGTTGGAGTCCTGGGAAGAACCTCTTGGAGCAAAAGGATGAGAACCAACAAACATAACCCACAAATTAATTGCTCTTTTCTTTGGGATTCTTTCGTCTGTTGATGAAATTAATTAGGTGACTAAAAGGGACGTCACATCACAAGAAAATATTGAAATATTGAAATCATGTTGTATGCAGTTACAGGGATTTGTTTTTAAAAAAGATAAAAACAGCAAAAGAACTTTGTAAGCAGTTAACCATCAGTAACAAACCCATGCCTAGCGCTAAACTTGTAAACAACATTTTGGCCAGTTTTGTCTCTTTCTGGGAAAACTGTGAATAGACGGCCGCATGACTAAGGGCACTTACAAACAATCAGAACTGGCCCGCTGGACAATTCCCTACTAGCTGAGGTCTCTCATGGCAAGAGAAGAAGGAGAGGAAAGAGAGAGACCTCTGCCAGCCTGTGATCATGATGTGTTCTTTCATTTAGCCACTAACCACATTTGTGGCGGAAACTTACAGGTTTTAAAACCCATTTTGTTTAATATGGAATACCCATGCCCTGTTGAGACTTTACGCCAGGGCATGTGTGATAGAAAATGTGTCTGAGGCTGACAGAAGTCTCTCTTTCCTCTCCTTCTTGTCTTGCCGTGACAGCCCTCTGCTAGCAGGGAAGCCAGACCAGTCATTTTGAAAATAAAATGTTGGTGTTTTCTCAAAATTTTCCCTAAAACACACTACCACTGAAAGAAAGTAAATTATTAATTTTTGTGCGTTGAACGTCTAAACAGATGTGATGTCTTCTTCTGGTTAGAGTCACCACCACTGAGCATACCATTAATTTTATTAATAGACTGATCTGGCCGGATAGCAGTGATTATAAAACAGGAATTCTCTTTACAACTTGACTGGTCTGGCTGGCTAGTTCAGACAAAATAGAAAGTGCCCACAGTTGACAAGCTTCAAACACCATTTTTCTGGTAAAATTTTCAGGGATGAATGGGTGAAATAACGTTTAAAGGCTTTGTGGCCTTGCCTTGAGGCATGACTGTCACCCTTTACACTTTTGACCCGGGAAAGTGATGTTTTTTTTTTTTTGCCTTTTGCCCTTTATTTCCTTCTGTTAGCCCTTTTTCTCCAAACTTCCCAAGGTTCTGCGAGACATTACGGCACACATAAAGGAAAACACTGATCTTTCCAACTAATAAGTCATTTTTCTTTTTTTGTTTTTGTTTTGGAAAAGATTTAAACCTGACGTCACGTCACGTACATACACTATCTGATATTTTGGAGAATGATGACATCCTGCTCTAGAGCAGCAATGTACAGTAAATCACACCATTAAACATGAAAGGTTTAAGCTTACGAAAGAAAGTAAATTATTCCACCAAACTACCACACAATACACGTACCTCTTTTGCGGGTTCTAATCCGCTGGCCACTGAGTGTAGGTTTGGGTTGCTTTTGACTCATAAAACAACTGGCTGAAAACAAAATTGCCGACACAAGCTTTAGCATTTCAATGCATAATTCCAAAAGCTTAACACAGCGTTTATGTATAGCTAAGTAGATTACGCTTTCCCCCTGACGGCGAGTCGATTTCTTTAGGCCTACTGTGGTAAAAGTTGTTTATGGATAAAAGATGGTGTAAATGCTCATTAAAGTTTATAACAGATCGTGATCTTTTTTCTTTCCTGGTGTCGCATATCGCGTCGTGTTCCTTGTCAAACAAAAACAACGACCACAACGAGAACATCATTCACATGGACACCGATCAATAGCCAGAGTGCTGGGCTTTGATGTCAAAGGCGAAATTGAGCAACATGTGAAAACATTTACACAACACTGACAACAGAATACAAAAGCTAAGCAAATGTACGTAAGGAATTGAAGATCGGAAATGAATACAACCACGAGCAAAAAATCAAATTCGGTCACGGCAAATTCGCCATTTGCCTTAAACTAAACGCTTAAAATATCAAATCCGTAGACTGGGTGTAAGCAGTGCTGCTTCTTTAATTAAACCTAAAAACGGCTGCATTACCATCAGGATCGTAAAGAACAACTTCATTTCAAGCGTGCGTATAAAAATTCACGAACCAATGAAAGACTTGGCTAATTGGATAGATAAACGTAAACGAGTTCGACGCCCAATCTAGTTAACTGATAAAAAATACTCAAGTCAATGAGAAGGTGAACGGTCTTACCTGAAAACCTTTTTAAATATCGGAGAGAGGAAACAGTGTTTTACAGAATAAATCTACGCTGTAAAAATATGACACCGCAAAGCACGAGGTTGCTGAGCGGGTAGGTAGGGGACTGGATCGAACTGTAACCCCGCCTTTCACCTTCACCCCGTCCGTCCTTCGTCGGGGGAGGGGATGGAGGGGAAGGGGGAGACAGGGGAAGGGACGGAGACGAAGGAGACGTGTATCCTTGGCAGACAGAGAGGCAATGAGGAGTCATTTCTTCATTTAATTTTTGTATTTTTGCAGTTCAAATCATTTTCATTCCATGTTTCATTCCTTACCTTTTGAACTCATAGGGCAAAAGCATGCGGTTGATAGGCGCGATAGCAGATACGAGTTCTTGTTTCAGTTTTGGCCATCTAAAAAGCAAACTGCGTTAATAAACAAAAGGAATATAAACACATTTCTGGAAAGAAATGAAACTTTAGCTTGACGTTTCGTATGTTGCAACATACATCTTCAGACGTATAAACCGGTGCTGAATAGAATAGAAATTTTAATGTAGAATAAGGTTGCGTTCGATTGGTCAATCGAACGCGAAATCCGAAAACGTATTTCACTTCCGAGAAATCCGTCCTCAGGGTGGATTTCAATCAAGAAATCCAAATCCGGATTTCGTGGATTTCCTTTTTACTGTTCGATTGGGAAATCCAAAAAAGGATTTGCAAAACTGTTCTCGTGAACAGTGGTCTTCTTTTTGCTAATTACGGTATGCGTTATTTCCGCCTCTAGTCCCTTTTATTGTGACATTCTCCATCTATATAATATTGTGACTGCGACATAAGTTCAGTAACATCTGTAAACCTGAAGAAGGCTGGTATGGCCAGCCGAAATATTGTTATAAGAAACAATACACGTTGTTCTAAATCAGCTGTGCAGTAGTCTTTGTTGACTTCTCGTTCTTGCTGGCAATACGGCAAGGGCAAAGGGCTTGCATTCAGTTTTGTTTCTAAAAGAGAGAATAATCTATTGTTCTCTCTTGTAGTCTGTTATAAAACTTCATTTTTCGGTTGGCAGCCACCATTTTGACCAATTATTGGCTAGTTGTTAACCCCATCACCAACCCGGCATGTTAGCGTTACAATTGCGAGACTGGAGTTTCGTTTATCACATTAGGCACATTAAGATTCACGTTTACGCCAAACGGGAAACGTGAATTTGTACCCCGTGACCAAGTTTTTCCCTTAATGGTCGTGTACTGTTTATTACTTCTACTCAGAAATAAGTAGTTTCACGCCAGTTTTATCTATTAGAATTGTTCTGGACAGTTTTTATCTGCTTATTTTATATGCTGAGAAATTCTCAACTCATATCTGACGTTTGCCGTTTGTCGTAAACGTGAATCTTAATCTCTCTATTATTTCTCCTATTTCCCGGAAATTCACTTTCCAACGTGTCGTGAGGTCACCGAAACACGTGACCTTTCCAACGCTGTAAACATGGCGGGCCCTGTGGAAGCAAGATTTGATGCTGCAGTTAACGTCGTACGATCAATGCCAAAAAAAGGTATTAATAACCTTTTTTAATCCAAACGTTGAAAAGGAGTGAATGAAGTTGTTCAAAACTTATTTTTCTTCATATTTTAGGCGCTTATCAGCCTTCGTACGACACTATGTTAAAGGTAAGCAGAAGTTTGTGAAGCCAGTTCAGCAAGCTTAAATGAAAATTAAAAAGTTCAGTTTTCTTCTCTTTTCTTATACGTAGGAATTTTTTGACAATTTTTATTTGAATAATTCAAAAACACCTTTAATCTGATGTCATTCTCTTGAAGAGAATTCGAAATGGCAATTTTTGCAAAGTTCGTGTAAGTTTCTTGTGGGGCGCAGGTTGAATGAGTACAGTACAAAGTCTTCATAAATTTAATGACGTTTACTCTTTAGTTGTTGTTAAAGATTCTTACAAAACTTAGTCGTGCAAAAGGATGCAAAACAAACGTAAATAACTATAATTCCAGTTGATTTGTGTAGATTTAAGTTAAAAATTAAGCTTATTTGTTTATTGTCTATGCATACAAGTTAAGAT